GGATACATACAAGTATGTGTGTGTGTGTGTGTGTGTGTGTGTATGTGTGTGTGTGTGTGTGTGTGGTCTGATACTGGGACTTGAATTTGGGGCTTGGGCACTGTCCCTGGGCTTTTTTTGCTCAAGGGAGTACTCTACCACTAAACCACAGCTCCACTTCCAACTTTTTTTTTTTTGAGTAGTTAATTGGAGAAAAGGCTCACAGACTTTCCTGCCCTGAGAGGCTTCAAACGTTGATACTCAGATCTCCCACACAGCTAGGATTATAGGCATGAGCTACCAATACCCAGGTCATTCATTCATACTTCTTTTAAAAGGAGGGAAATGGAAGACCCATCTGTCAGGTTGGGACACCACCACCAGGAGGGGCCAAAGAGCAGGTGTAGGCCTGGTCATGGCCCATACACAGCAGGAGAGACTATCTGAATTACCTGGGACAGGGAACCAACAGGGAGAGGCTGCTAGTAGTCAGCCTTCCCAGAGAAGCCCCCGGAATGCCAGGTCAGAGAGGAACCCACAGGACAGGAAGGGGACTAGGGCAGAGAGCCTGGTGACCCTCCTCAGATCAGATATAAGTAGGCAGCTTGGTGTCTGAATCATTGGGGTCCAGCAAGCTGCCACTAGACCGTTGGGTCCTGTTGGGTCCTGTCTGGCCTCCACACTCTGGGCATGAAGCAGGGAGGAGCCACTGGGCAAGCAGCACAGGGCCATGGCCTAGGGGAGGCATGAGAGTCTAGGATGCACCCTGCTTCCCCTGCCAGGCCAGTACATCCCCACACTGAGGTAGACCTCTCGGCCCAGGATGCTGCTCCTGAGGCCACTCCCACATTTCCCATGCTCCCCTTATTCACCTTTTAATGCAAAGGGCACCAAGCCAGGGGTGGTGGCACCCCCCTCCCCAGTTCTTTGCTCCCCACTCATCTTCTCCAAGAAGCCTGGGGGTAAAAGCAAGCCCCAGCTCCAGCTTGAGGATCACAGAAATAAGAGGTCTGAGAGCCTAGTAGATTCCGGCTAACATTCAAGAGCCCTATAGCCTGGGAAAACTGGCATCACGGAGCCAATAAGGGCATCATGGGAAGCTCTGTCCTGTGTATTTACCCCCCAGTGAACAGCAGCCACACCACAACTGTAAAATAATCACAGGTGCCATTTGCTCGACAAACACTGTCTTCACTACCACCCTACACGGAAGGGGTGTTTTCCTCCCATTTCCCAGAAGAGGAGATTGAAGGGTCAGAGGGGGGCAAGTCACTTGCCCAGGTGAGGAAGTGGTGTTTCCAGGATTAGAAACCAGGCCCATCCCACCAGAGCTGAGACTCCACCCCCACTTCCTGCCGAACCGAGCAGTTCCTCCTGGAGGGTATAGTCCAGTACCTGACATTTGGCCACTGTAGAAAAAGGCTGTCTGCCTCCACCTAGCTAAAGGGGTCCCTATCGCCATTCTGAAAGTGAGGGAAACGGAGACTTTCCTGGAAGCTGGACTGTACCAGAGAAGCACACAGAGAATGCACCAGATGCAACTTATCCAATGTCACATTGCAAAAGGGGCCCAGATGGGATTTGACCCCAGGCAGAGAAGCTCCAGATCTTCACATCACTGGCTTCCGGGAGCTCAAGCAGAGGCCGCTGAGGCCAACCTCCCTAGCCTTGCACTGCCTCTGCTCCTGACCCTCACTGGCCCCAGCTGTACCTCTGAGCCTGAAGGAGTCCCCTGGGCCAAAAGCAGTAAACAGCCACTGCCACCTGCTCCAGCCTGCGGTGAGCAAGAGGAAACAGAGCCCTTTGCCTAACAGAGGAAGTTCCTGGGCAAGACAGAAGGGTTTGTCCAGGGGTCCCAGCCCAGCCAAGGTCCAGGATAAGGCTGCTTGCCATGACCAGCTCAGGACCAACTGCTTCTTGCAGGGCCCTGGCTGCAGCCCCTACACACCCACCTGCCCACCACCAAGCATTACCGCTTTAAGCTGCAGGCAGCACCCAGCATGCCAGCGGTGAGTCAGCATCAGGCCTGCTGACTCACCCACCGGAAGCCTCACTGCCCGGCCCTGTGGCCCTCTCCCTCTCCCCACACAGGCCGGCTGGGAACTTTGCTCCCTTCGGGCTCTGAGCCACAGGCTGGCTGATAGAGAGTTTCCTGTGCGTCATACCAGGGTAGGGGGAAGTCCCTGAGGTGCCACCTTCCAGTCTTTCCAACAGCCAGGATGGGGAGGGGGGTGAGGGGGTGCTGTAAGAACAACAGGCAGGGCCAGCCCAGGATAGTGCTTCTGAAGCCAGGGCCACGAGCCTGAATCCAAGCCCTATGACAATAATCATGAAAATCCCAAGAACGGCCTTTCTAGGCAGAGACCATGCACAACACACATGGTGCCCCCAAGAGCAAATGTGGCTTACTGAACTGTGCTCACCCCACTAGTCCCTGACCCCAGCCAATATGTGAGCAAGGAGGTGGGAAAAACCAAGCTATGGAGCCCGACTCTCATGCACTGGAGAAGAATTCCCCAGACCAGTGCACAGAGCACGGGCAAGTGTCCACTGCCAGGAAGGAAGCACAAAGGTAAGGCCAAATGCCAGCCACTCCCTTGCTTTGTTCAAAGTCTTTCAAGAAGTTAAAGCAAGAGCTTTGTGCGAGGGATCTTCGCGCCCAGCATAAGGAGTGCATCAGGAGGGCAACGTAAGAACCGGCTCTGCTCTGTGCAGTCAGTCCAGCCACTCCCCTGGGAAGCCTCAGTCTGCATCTGCTGAATGGGCCAGGCTACAGGAAGCACACAACATGCCATCTGTCAGGACTGTGCACATGGGTGGCACCTTGGCCTAGGCCATCCTTCAGGCTCCATATGGCCCCCTGGACATGGAGGTGATAGACAAGGAGGTGTGGGGTACCCCACAGCTCAGCTCCAGAACCTAGTATAGGAGTGGGACATAGGAGAGCCTGGGGAACCACTGAGCAACCTCTGACAAAGCACCTAGTGCCTGTGAGACTCAGTTTCCTCATCTGTAGGTAGGGCAATAAGGATAAAGAAGACAAGAATAACACAGGGAAAAGAGTTTAAGAAGGGTCATCTCTTGAGATTTTTGGTAAAGGACATGGTGGCTCCTCTACCACCTCCTTATCCAAACCTAAACCAAACAATAGGGTCCCTAGGCCATTATCCAATCCATCCATTATCATGCTACATGGATCTATAAGCTGGAATTTATGTTGGCCTGCAGACTGAGGCCCAGATAGGGTAGTGGCTAGCCTCAAGTCACATAGCAGGATACTCCCACAGGGCTCTGCTACCATACTTCACACACACACACACACACACACACACACACTCTCTCTCTCTCTCTCTCTCTCCACATTTACAACTTTTATTTTGATGAGGCATCTCCTGTCTGGAAATGCTGAAATGCCTCCAAAAACAAACACTGCTTCCAAACTGTTCCTGCGTGGATGAATGTCTAATTTCCCAGTCCCTGAGGTTTGCAGCTCCACGAGGTCTCCCAGCCACCTCCCCCAGTGAGTGCCTCCTGAGTTACTCACAGCCAGCGGTTGGGCAATGGTCAGGGATCCGGCCTCCCACTTATGTAAGACGTAATTATCCTGCCCACCCAGCTCCAGCCCACAGCTACCACAGCCACTGGCAGCAGGGGTGAGGAAGGACCCACACCCTCTGAGGACCCCACACTGGTGAGCCCCTCCAGGAAAGGAGGAGCAGGTCCCACCTCTGCTGAGGGGCCTCTACACACCCACTTCTCCCTTCTTCCTGCTCACTCCGCAAATACAACCCAGAGGCAGAGCTCTGGTCCTATATGGCTGCAACCTTTCCAACAGGAAAAATGGCAATCATAAGGATGGGTGCAGCAACTGCCCTCCCTGAGGACCTACTATGTGCTAGGTGTCATGCTGAACTTTCAACCACCTCATCCACACTTGCTTCAAAACATTGTTTCCTATCATATTCAGGATATCCATTTGACAGGTAAGGTAACTGAGGCACAAAGAACCCAAGGGGTTTGTCATATATAGGGCAAGAAGCAGGCCATGCAGGGCTGCTAGTCTCATTTGGAGCTCATTCTCATACAGCTCAGCCTACTGAGACTCCCACAAACATCCTTTCCTCTTCCTGAAAAAAATCCCCCTTTCACCCTCCAAGTCTCATCCTCCCTCCCTCACCCTCATGACAAATCCTGCTGTTGCTACCGCCACCACAGCCACCTCGCAAAAATTTCCAGGAAGGCCAGTTACTTGGAGGAGACAAGATCAAGCCCCTTACATGGCTGGCAGCCAACCCAGGTCCCAAGGAGCGGGAACAAGGTCTAGAAACAACCAGCTTTGGAGACACTAATTAGCATGGGAAAGGGTAGCCCCCAAGTGCAAAGATGGCAACTCAGCCAAAGAGAAATCTGCAAAAGGGCAGTGTGCTGCTCAGGAGTGGGAGACCAAGATGTGTTCTGGAAAGACAAGGCTGTAAGAGGAGGCTCACAAGAATGGAGAGATTGGGGAGGGAGGTGGAGGGGGGAGGGATCCAAGGAGTTGTTATGTGGAGTATAGTCAGAGACCCAGCACTGGGACATAATAAGGTCTCCAGTAATACTAGCACCGTTGGGGCCCGGATGAAGAGTAAGAGTATAGTTCCAACCTGGATAAAGATAGAGCCCAGAGGCCAGGGACTAAAAATCAGAGACTTAGTGCAGCCTAAAGACTCGGGGGTGAGGGGGATCGGAGCAAGTCCCACAAGGGTCTAGCTTTGTTTCGGTCCAGGCTGCAGCCCCGAGGCCTAACTGAGATCAGGGTGAGGCCCCTGGCCTGGAACGAGGTGAGCAGAACGAAGTCCTAGCCTGGGTCCAGTCCGGGAGATCTCGGCCTGGGTGCAACCCAAGGCCTAAGAGAGGGAGTTTCTGGGCTGGGGTGCTATTGCACGGAACCTTATAGGGTAGGATCACAAAGAAGTCGGGGTTCACAGCCCGAGCTCGGGCTGGGAGAGAGGGTAAGGCCGCGGTCCGGAGGGCGAGCTTACCTTTGGACTGGGGCATGCTGGCGGGCTGGTTAGGGGCGGGCGACTCCATGCTGCAAACGGGTCCTAGGAAGCGGCGGGGACTAATCTAGAGGACGGCGGGCTATACCCGGGCCGAGCGCGCTCATGGCTACGGGCGGGCGGCCCGGACGCAGTAGAGGAGCTGAGGCGGGTGAGAGCTTGCAAGTACGCGTTCACAACGGGCGGTGCCACAGCCAGACTGGGCAGCGCCAAGGGCCCGGGACAGACGGCGCCGACAAGGCCCCTCCCCCGCGCGCCGATTGGCCTACGTGTCTCCAGGGCCCATCCCTTGCCTATCAGGAAGTGGTCACGCCCACTACCGTCTGTCTAACCTATTAGCCACTCAGGAAGCCCTAGCCCATCCAGACTCCGCCCCTCCGCGAAGGCCCGCCTTCCACCTGCTGCCTGTCAAGGCAATAGCCCCTCCCACTCCCTCCCCTCTAGTCCCAGAGACCCGCTGCATCCGCCCCGCCCCCGGACGCCCCCACCCCTCCGCCCGGGTGGCGCGCTGCGTGGGCGCGTCCCGTGTACGTAATCTGGAAAAACCCGGAGATCCCGAGGGTAACCCGGCTAGGCGGATGATACTCGAGTCCTGATCCTACGCGGCAACGTTGTATCAGCGGGAGGAGGGGACAAGGGGGGGCGGGAGGGGGAAGGGAGGAAGAGGGATGACCTTGGGCAAGTCCCCGGCACCCTGAGTTTGCATTTCCGCCTCTGGGAGAGCAGCGGCGTTCGCCTCTCGGCCTGCGGCGAGGCTGCGGAGGAACCCGGGCTGCGCGTTGGCGCGCGCGCGCTCCGAACGTGTTTGTTGACTGACTGTTGCAATGGGTTGATCGCCGTGCGGGGCGTGCACGCGTTTGTGTCCTGCATCAGCAAGCATCCACGAGCGCCCGCGCGTGCCGGAGTCGGGATGCGGGGAGGAACCTGGTGGTGCCTTAGTGACAAGTCAGCGCAAGTAGCTTTCTTGGTTTTTGCTCCTAGTGCCTCTGTGTGCGGACTTTTAAGGTCTTTACTCCCTTTGCCCCTGATGGGGGTCCCTGCTTCTCTCTTCTTCTTTTTGTCGGTCGTAGCGCTTGAACTCAGGACCAGAGCGCTGTCCCTGAGCTCTACCACTTGGAGCCACAGCTCCACTTCCAGTTTTGTTTGTTTGTTGATGGCTAACTCGAGCTAAGAGCCTCACGGAGTTTCCTGCCCAGGCTGGCTTTGAACCACGATCTCAGCCTCCAAGGGTAACTAGGATTACAGACATGAGCCACTGGCGCCCAGCTGGATCGGTTCTTCTGTCCCCTTGCTTTTCTGGGTGATACCATAGCTAGGCCATCCTCCCTCTGCCCCTCATCTGGAGCCTCAAGAATTGCCGGAGCCACTGGTGGATCACATGCTGGGATCAGGTGACACTGGATGGAAAGCCAAGGTTAGTAAAGGGAGGAAGTACTGGGCCAGGTCAAGGGGTCAGCCCCTGGCAGACATGAGTGTGTGCCCTGTCAGAGACCTCACATGAAGGAAGCAGGTTCCACCACCTGCTAGGAAGGCTTAGAGCAGGAGACTGACCTCTGCCTGGTTGTGTGTAAAATGGGGACCCTGCAGGGCCCTCCCACACAGTGATGGGGAGGGCCTGATGAAGTAAGAGGGAAAGGCCTTGTAATTATCATTACTCTCTTCCTGTGTCTCTTGCTCACCCTTTCCAGGAGGTGGGATGGAAAATCCTCCACTTTGAACATAGCCAAGTGTGGGTTTGAATGCCAACTCTACCACTTTCTAGCTTGATGATCTGGGACAAGTCACCGAATCTTTCAGACTCTGTTTACAGGTCTCTGAAAGCATTTCACAAGTTCAGGTTTGGAAGTGTCTGGCTTGGCATTCACCAGGTGCCCAGGAAATGAGTTCAGAAACATACTGCGGATGACCTCCGACTGGAAGCCACCTCAGCTCTGCTACACACACATCTCCCACCCCCTGGAGCTGTCTCAGATCACTTTGGGACCTGCACTTACCCAGCTGTAAAATAGGCACCCAGCATTAGCCACCTCCCTGCCAGAAGTGCTAGCCCGTCTGGCAGGTTTTCTGGGTTCAGGCCACTGCCAACAGCTGGATTTCTGCTCCTCCCACTCTTCCCTCCTCCTGGCCACTCAGTTCCATACTATGTTGCAGGGTCTTAGAGCTGCCCCTTGAACTTGCCAGTACTGGCCCTTTCTGTTCATCCACACCCCACCATGTTCCTGGATTGGTCCCCTTTTATCTCTCAGACCCTCTTAAATGAACACATCAGGAAGCCCTCACTGTCTTGGTCTCCAAATCAGCCTTAATTCTCTGCCCCAGCATCCACGCTGCCCATCTCCTGCTTGCTTACTGTTTCCACCACAGCCTCCTGCAAACGCTGCCCCCACTTCTGAGTGGGAATCCTGCCCATCTCATTCCTGGCTGCATTCCTAAGGCCTGGCCCAGAGCAGGGCACACAGTAGGTACCTAATAACTATTTAAGGAATGAATGGAGGAAGGAGGAAGGCATGCCGCAGACATGGGTAAAGTGACTCCAGTCCCGTGCCAGCCTCTTAGGTCCTAGGTGACTCAGATGAGGCCTCAAACACGAGGACTTTGTGGCTTAGTCAGGGAACCTGACAAACAGCCCAAGAATTAAAAAAAAAACCTCCATGTGGGGATCTATTAATAGATGCATGAGCCAGGAGTCCCAGGAAGGGGACTGACTCTACCTGGGTGGGGTCAGGGAAGGCTTTGCAGATGAGGTGACCTTGACCCTGAGCCTTTAGGGACCCATAGGAACTTTCAGGCAGAGGCCAGACGGCCTCCCTGGAAAGACCAGCCCTGGCTGGCGGGGAACCCTGCCCAGGTCAGGCTGGGCTGAGGAGCCCATGCTGCCTATGACAGTGAAGCCTGCTGACCTCCGTGTGTCTTCTGGTGGCACAGCCAGGTTCTGAACCCCATGACCACTCAGAAACTGGAAGGGAGATTGGATATGGATCCGCAGAAAGCTGCCTTTTGCCCTGTTGTCTCTTCAGAGAACACCCCTTTTCTACAAAGGCAGGGGAAACTGAAGCTCAGGATGGGAAGGTGGGGGTGGGGGCAAAGTTAGGATGTCTGTTGACACCTGAGTGACAATGAGCTGGAAAGAGATGGGGTGATGGGAGCAGCCCATTCATTGAACAAATATTTATTGAGCATCTTCCTGTGCCTAGCTCTGAGGGCTCAGTATTGAGCAAGACAGAAGCCACTCCCTGCTCTCAAAGAAGAGGTGGGCAAAACAAACCAGTAAAAGGCCTAAAATAGATGCTAGGGTGTCTGAGGGTGACACTTGCTGTGGGGGGGGGGAAGTAAGGGAGGGGCAAGGCATGTATCTGGAGGTGAGGCTGTCATTTTGAAGATGGAGGTCAGGAAGAGGTCAGGGGAGGGAAGGGAAGAGCATTCCTGGCAGAGGGAACCACACATGCAAAAACCTTGAGGCCCATGGTTTGTAGAAAGGTAAGGTGCTCGGTGTGATTATGGAAGATGAGAGATTAAAACCCCTATTTTAACCTAAATGTGTCCTTGACACGTGTTCATACCCTGGTATGGGTCACACATCCCAAGTACCCTTGTGCACACTAATGTCAGTGGGGCATATGAGTGTGGGGACATTCACAGGCAACCTATACACACAGCTGTGCACAGCTGTGCTGCCATCCTGCAGCAACCTCCACAGCTTGCTGGCTCACAGCGCCATCTGGTGACCAGACCCAGTATGGCGATTCTCTGGGGTGCTCTCTGTAAGACCTGCTGCACTGTGCTATGTATGAATGCCACCCAGCCTCGGCTGCTCTGTGTAGTCCTGGCCCCAGGCCTTCCACAGCCCAGATAAGGAGAGTACCTTCCAAAACAGAGATGGCCACACCCCACACCGGGCCATGGCTTCCAAAGTGGCTCTGCCTGTGTCTTCAGACATCCCCCCAGTCCAGCCACTCCCAAGCTAAGCTTTTCTCCTGGAGCTTTTGTTGTGACACTGGGATTTGGATTCCTGCCTTCCCGCTTCCAGACAGGTACTCTACCCCTTGAATCACACCACCAGTCTTTTTTTTTCCTTTAGATATTTATCAGACAAGGTTTCAGGTTTTTGCCCAACTAGCTTCAGACTGAGACACTCCTACCTCTGACCTCCCATACAACGGGGACCATAGGCACACACCACCATGCCTAGCTTTATTGGTAAGAGTTGTGGGCCTCACTGGCTTCTTGTCTAGGCTAGCCTAGAACCTCAGTCCTGGCATGAACCACAGCACCAGGCCTCCTTGAGCCGCTATTAAAGAGCACCAGGAATGCCCTTCCCTGCCTCTCTAACAGACACATTCCCACCTTCCTTCCTACCCTGCCCTGCACACCAGGCCAGGCCTCTCTGACCATAACTGTTCTGTTGGTGGGCAGGAGCCCATCAGGCTGGCACTGCTCCGAGGCAGGTGCTGGCTAGTTCCTCCCTTCCAGAGGGAGCCCCTTGCTCTGCATCAGGTTCCAGAATTCACCACAGGCCAAAGAAACTGCAAGAGAGATTCCACTGCTGCTTTCTTTTTTCTTTCCTTTTTTCTTTTTCGTCTCTTCTTCCTTTTTTGTACTACTAGGGTTTGAACTCAGAGCATTGTGCTTGTTAGGCAGGACTGTACCACTTAGCTATAACTGGAGCCCATTTTGCCCCAGATTTGATTTTTGTGTGTTTGTTTTTTTGGTGTTTGTTTGGTTTGGTTTGGTTGTTGTTGTTTGTTTTCCTAGTCCTAGGGCCTGGGCATTATCCATGAGCTTCTTTTTGCTCGAGGCTAGAATTCTACCATTAGAGCCACAGCACCACTTCTGCCTTTTTTTTTTCTTTTTTGTAATTTACTGAAGATAAAACTCACAGACATTGCTGTACTAGCTGGCTTCAAACCCTCATCTGCAGATCTCAGCCTCCTGGGTCGCTAGGATTATAGGTGTGAGCCACTGGCACCCAGCTTATCCCAGTTATTTTTCTTTTCTTTTCTTTTTTTTTGGGTCCGGTCATGGGGCCTGAACTCTGGGTCTGGGTGCTGTCCCTCAGCTCTTCAGCTCAAGGCTAGCGTTCTACCACTTGAGCCACAGCGCCACTTCCGGCTTTTTTCTTTTTGCTTATGTGGTGCTGAGGAATCGAACCCAGGGCCTCAGGCATGCAAGGCAAGCACTCTACCACTGAGCCACCTTCCCAGCCCCATCCCAGTTATTTTTAAAATAGACATATGCCTGATCGAAGATTCACTTAATTTAGGATTTCTGTCATAGCTGGTTTGGCAGGTATGTACCACTGTGCCCAGCTATCAGTTCCGAAGGGATCACTTGAACCTTTCTGCTCACAGGTTGACTTCCAGTCCCCACCCGCTCAGTCTTAACCTCCCAGGTAAATGGGATTACAAGCATGAGTCACCAGTGCCTGGCTCTGTGTGTGTGTGTGCATGTGCGTGTGTGGGGGCTATCCCCGACCTTTTTTGCTCAAGGCTACCACTTGAGCCACAGCTCCCCTTCCAGCTTTTTTTTTTTTTGAGTGATTAATTGCAGATAAGAGTCTCACA